ATCTTCTTGAATCAATATTGAATTTTATTGCGTTATATTTTTGAAAAAAGAATATTTTTAGATTAAATATACAGGGTGTCCCTAAAAGGTCTGTACAACGCGCTACCAGGTGTTCTTGGTATCAAAATAGGACGATTTAACCCAACTTACCTCTATCCAAAAGTGCTTCGGTAAGGCGCTATCTACCGCCAAAGATTCAAAAAACAAATCGTTATTTTTATTTTATCGGAAAATGGTTTTGCCGATTAAAATGAAAGTTGGGATGTGAATGTCTAATGTAAAAAGGGTCTTTGTGATATCATCGTTTTGATTGTAGTTGCTATGTAGGTGGTAAAATACTGACCATCCACATCTGAAGAGGTCTAAAACTTTTTAACTACAATTTTGACGGCTCTGAATTTTTAGACACTGATAGACAGTTTACTTGCAAGCATTTTTTGTCTCTTGATGAATATCGCTATCGATGATGGTTTACGAAAAAAAAATAAATTTAGGCATGATGAATCGCAAAAAAAAAAAAAAAAAAAAAAAAAAAAAAAAAAACACACGTACATTGGACATCTAGGGATAGTATGTAATTCGTACTTACCAACATACCTATTGATGGACACAATAGCCAACGCTATCAGGAAAGAGGAAAACAAAACAAAACAAAAAAAATCATTATAATAATTCCTGTAATTTTATTAAATGGAGTTTATTGTGTAAGTGTTTCTTTGGCTTTGCGTTTGGGTTGAATACGAGTGGGTTGTGATAACGTGGTGTGTTTCTGTGAAGAAGGAGTTTTGTGTTTTTTAATTGTATTTATGGTGTTTCTTTGTTCCTGAGGTCGTATTTGTGAGGTTGCTTGGGTTTTTGGTGGAGATATTATAGTATGTTGTGAGCATGTAGTTCTGTTAAGGTTTTTGCGTTGCGGTTGAATACGAGTGGGTTGTGATAATGTGGTGTGTTTCTGTGAAGAAGGAGTTATGTGTTTTTTAACTGTGCTAGGGCGTGTAACTTTATTGGGTGGACCTGTCTTTGTAGTGCATGTTGCGTTACTTATATTTATGGCGTTTCTTTGTTCTTGAGGTTGTATTTGTGAGGTTGCTTGGGTTATTGGTGGAGACATTACAGTATTTTGTGAGCCTGTAGTGCTTTTAAGGTTGTTGCGTTTGGGTTGAGTACGAGTGGGTTATTATTATTATTATTATATGTATACGGGGCCGGATAAAAAAGTTATGAGGCCTAACTTACTTTTTTGGATGAAATACTACAGAAAGAAGAAATTTTTGTTAAAGAAAGAAGTTTTACAAAAAAAGTACTTATATTACCTAGAGAAACAAAATGTTAAAAATATGAAATTAACAACGGTTATCCAGTTGAATACATTTCTTTTATTTTTCATTGATGATAATATTGTTCAGAACACATTTTTTCTTTAAATTTAGTGTGATTTTTTAAAATTTCGGTGTTTTTATTACAATTGCTGTTCATGAAAACCTTTTTTTTAAATTTTGTAATAAAGGGCGCATTTCAAAATGACAAAACTATGCACATGTCATATCGAAAATGGTGCCACAACGCTCCACAAGCTTTAATTAAGATAAACCAATTGACGCCGAATCGAAATGTTAGCTTCATAATTTATGAACATATTTTTCAACGACTTCCTTGGATAGTAACAAAAAATCAAAAACTGTAAAATAAGCCGATCCGAAAATGCCGTGATATGTTATATAAACCCGAGTATAAACCTATCCAGTTTTAACAAAGAAATAAAAAAAGAAACACAGCGAAGTATTTAAATTCTGAGCCAGATTCCGTTTAATTGAAATTTTTCAAAATTATGATACGTACTAAAATGATAATAATAATAATAATTTCTTAAACCTTTGTTGCTATTTTACAATAGATAAGGCAAGTCGCATAAAAAAATCGTAATAATGTTAATGAACAGGAACTCAATTTTAGATGGTGAGTGGGATTGTAGGATGATTCGCCCCCGAAAATTCGCCCCGGTATATTCGCCCCCGGAATATTCGCCCCCAAGAAAACTCGCCCCCTTAATATTCGCCTCAGAAAGATTCGCCTCCGGCAAGTTCGCCCCCGACAAATTCGCTCCTGGAAGATTCGACCCCGGCGATTCCGCTCCCGTAGGATTCGCCTGATAAGATTTATTAATCCTCGGAGGTAACAGGGCCAGCAGTTCACAAAATGAATTTTGTTTAATTTTAATTTTTTATGTAATAACTGTGTACCTATACCTACATAAAGGGGGTAGAATAATAGCACTCAAATACCTGTTAACTAAAATACGAATAGGTAATTAAGATAAGGGTGAATAAAGTAAGGGAGATTTGCAAAGGATTTGACATCCAAAGGAAATAAATCCTGTATTCACAATGACATTTTTTCAGACATGACATATGGAAAATCCACCTTAACTTTTGTATTACAAAAGGACATTTTTGATTGACTGAGTTGTTCGCTTCTTAATTTCTTCCCAACAGAACGTTTGATGGCTTGTTTGGTCATTAATGGTGTATTTGTTTTGAAACTTTTTATGTTCCTATTTGTTATATTTTGGCGCGAATACGAACTTTGGTTTTTTTATTAACGATTTTATTCTACGGTGTTTTTTTTTGTTTCGGATCAATACTTGGCTTGAGCATGGATTTTGAATTTGGTATAAACCTGTGTGAAAAAATAGTTTTAAGTATTGAAGAAGATCGGTTTCACGTGGTGCTGGTAAGTTTTGTATTATTTTTTAATTAGTTAGTTAGATTTACTTAAAAAAACGAATTTTGTGCACGATTTTCTAAGATTTTAAATATTACAATGCTAATAGACGAAGAGTTTATTTTATTGTAAATCAAACACAATATTTCACCTTTCGTAAATACAAAAAACATCAAAAAAGGAACTCTTATGGCATCAGTAATAAACACGTGTCTGTATTGTCATTTTTGTACATAATAGTAGGACACAAAGTATACAGGGTGGTAACTTGCGTAACGCATCATAGGGATTTCAATGTAAAATTCATAACATGCGATTATTGGCTCCCCAAATTATTTTAGAGCAAAAATGTATTAAGGTTTTTTGTAGAAAAAAACATTTTACGTCAATCAACCGTATTAGTTTTCAATTTTTTGCATAATAAAGACCGAAAATTGGAAAAATAAAACCCCTGTCTTTTTCAATAATCTGTGACGCCATGGAATTTTATAATACAAAAACTACGCCAATATCCGTCATGCCATGGAATGTCTGCTATAAAACAAAATATCAAATTCTATCAAAAAGTGTTATATTTAGAACAGCTAATTCAACATAAAGAAAGACCAAATTACTAAAAATAACAATTTACAATAAATATTCGAATAAGTGATCTGCAAGATAAGACAGTAACCAAGTCGATCATAAATTCCATTTCGAACAGCTGCTAATTGATAACTGGATATATTTTTAGAGACTTCCATGGCATCGCAGATTATTGAAAAAGGTGCTGGTTTTATTTTTCCAATTTTCCGTCTTTAGGTATATGAAAAAAATTGTAAACTAATACGGTTGAATGGGGTAAAAACAATTTTTCTACAAAAAACTATTACATTTTTGCTTTAAAATTAATTGGGGCGCAAATAATCGCATGTTATTAATTTTACATTGAAATCCGTATGATCCGTTACCCACCCTGTATACTAAATTAAATTCATTGTCTTTTTAAGGTCTAAATTTTTGGTAAACGGTCATCGTTCAACATTTTTTGGTCTCAAGCAGACCGTAGCAAACTAATATGCTACTTAACTAATTAATTTAAACCAACCTATTACTTCCGAGGGTTAATAAATGTTATGGGGCGAATTTACCGGGGCGAGTCTTCCGGGGCGAATTTACCGCACACCGGTGAGTGGACTAGAAAACGGTCTGGAGGGATCGGATCCTCTCAGTTCATAATATCTAGTACTCCTAACCTTTACACCATTTCGTCCGTAAAATTATGAGAGAATGATTAGACAAAAATTTCCAATATCAAAATGAATTAAAATTTGAAACTCTCCGATCAAGCAAGATTTCCTATACCTTCTAATTAAGTTGAAGCCCAAACAGTGCAACAGGAGTCAAATTAGTTATTTTGGCCATCTCAGATTATTCTTGGTGATATTCTCATCACCATCAAGATTTTATTACCATCACACTCCAAAAATGTAGAATATGATGAACCCAAGTGTTAATGATTTAGTTTACAGTCTTAAAATCCTAAAGCATACTACCCATATAAATTTTCAGAAAATTAGCATAACTATAAAAAGTTCACGCTTATTTTAGTTTATATACAATTATACAAAATTAAAACTCAGGAACGAGTCGAGTCCATTTACTTACTAAATTATGAGATTCACGTTTTTGAAAAAACCTTTTTATTATACAATAAATCGGTAAATGAGGCACGAGGCGTTTATACCTGAGCTCGTTTGGTAAAATTAACGAGGTTTTTCGAACTTCGGCTACAGATTTTGACAACCTGTATCGGTAGTTCACCTATACACCAAAAATTTATTGTTCACGTATCTACCGTTCTACATTTAAAATTCTGAGCTATCAATGCCTGGTCATTATCAGCAGGAACCCGTTGAACGTATTTATGTCAATGTGAAGTTCGTGTTCGACTCATTGTTTGTATCGCACTCGGGTTCATGAAAGACTTTTTGAAACATGTACAGAAGTACAGAAGTTTACGTAGTACTAAAGCGACAATTATCACAGCACAACCAGTAAACAACAATAAAAAGGAGTAAACTTTAAAGTAACTCAATCGCTATTTATGACTTATTGTAACAAGAATGACATATTGTTAGTCACGTATACACCGTCAATATTTCAGGTATTGAAGTACTAAAGGTGTTAAATCGTAAAGTAACTGTTTGTATGTTTACTGTTAGGTATACAGACTTTCCCAAAATGTATACGAATCAATTAGAGTGTAGCCTAAACGTCTAATAATGGAAGATATTTACCTTGGTTCTATTCAGTGGGACAGAAAAATCCCAGTCTGGCGCGACAAACAGATATCCACTGCGAGCAATCGCACGACTTGCCTGAAACAAAAAAATTATGTCAAAAAAAGTACTTATTTATAATTCCTGAATTATAAAAAATTAATTTTCGTCCTGTAATGAAAGTACAATTACCATTAGGTAATTACATTTTCAAGTAGAATGTGCAGTTAATGCGGAAACTGACATGGTTAGCCCAAAGACATTACGCAATCATTAGAAATCAATAAATTGATAGATTAAATTCGAAGTGTTTGACCTAAATTTGTCAATTATTGGTTGTCAAAAGGCAATAACATTTTATTAGATCGAAAATTTATTTTGATCAGTATCTTGATTGATATACTTGGCACGTCTCGAAAAATTATTTATAATTAATCGATCTCAACGATTTGTTCGCTTTGAAATAGTACTTACAATCGAATTTTCATTCGTATAGGTACATTTTTTGTGTTCCGAATCCAGCACGTTAATTAGGGCAAAAAACACTTTCGACATTGAGACTGTATAATGCGCAAAATTAAAAAAAAAGGAATTCCATCCTTCTTAATTAAATCACTTATTTTTTTTCCAGTTATATCTCCTATTAATGTCCAACAAATGAGATTCACGTTAAACGCTTTTGGTCTATGTCTGTTGCCCACTTTAGATAGAACCACAAGATCAATTAAAAAAGAACTGATCACAATAAAAAAACTGTAATTTTGCACAATTTAGCGATTTGCAAGTTTAGTGTACAACTGCACAAAAAAGCACTGGGGATTTTGATGAGTAGCTTTTATTCTTCGCAAGCACTTACATATCACACCTGAACCTCAGTTTTGTAAAAAAGAATTAAATTCAAAGAAAATAGGTAAACCCCTGAGGGCCCAGAGCAAAAGAGAGATAATGTCTGTGTTTGCCCATGTTATAACTTGAAAACTGATAATTTTCAGATTCGTTTTCGCTAATCGAGTACTTTGTGGTAGTAGATGAGCAAGAAATTCCGAACTTAAAAATTGCAGTCAAATTTCAATCGAGATTTAAATGAGAAAGACGTTATGTAAATTTGAAATGAATGTCACTATTTACCGTATAAACAATGTTGCAATGCAACAAACTTTTTTTGCATGTTTTAAGTGCGGAATCTAATAACACTCGTCATTAAACCATGATTGAGGAAACTTGCTTCAATCAACTGACAATCGGCCGTTGCAATTTTCTCACACCGGCTAATTTGTATTTAATTATCCGGTGACCCTGGGGTAAATTACATCGCATTTGAAATAAACCCTTTTGGGAATCCTTACAGAGGACGTCCATCGATTTTATTACAGCGGATTTGTATGCCGGTCTTGTCAATAAACATTTAGTGAGAAAGGTCGCATTCTTCCAGACAAATGATCTTAGCTTCGTCTAGACATAAAAAAGAAGCCGATTTCTATAGATAGACGTAAGCAAAGGCCAACGAATTGCCTAATTATCCATTAGGGGGATTATCAAATTCACGCTTAAATTAGTAATACTAATAAAGCGTGTTTTGGCCATAGATATTTAAACAATTATAAATAAATCAAACAGTTCTACGTGTATAACTGCTTTCATCTGACCGGCTCCACTCGCAAACCCGCAATTATTTACAAATTAACATTACGGTAAATAATACACAACTGATTTTTTATTCACCGACACAATAATCAAATGGGTATGGTATTAGTGAAGCTAAAATAAATAAATGGAATTGGTAATTAGCCTAACGATTTGTTAGCTTGGTTTACACATGGGTACCCATCTCGAAAATTAAATTAAATCGTGATCGTGGTTTCGAAAAGGGACGTTCGTCGCGCTTTTTTCTCCCAAATCTCGAGGTGAAGATGGGACGTGCTCGAAAATGTACCTGAATTTGAAGTAATAAACTTGACTGTGAAAGTTAAATTTTGACAAATTTGTTACTTCCGTTCTACTTTCTACACTTCATTTACCGATGGCAGTTCCACCTTTTTCAATTGCATTTCCTGTCGCACGTGTATGTTACCGCATACAGTTCTCATGCATTTACAGGATATTGTTTCAAAAGTAAATTAGGAGTTGATGACGGCGATAAATTTTGTCTAAAGTGACTCGAAAAAGAAATTTAAGAGAGTGTTGGCAAATTTATTCCCTGCAGAGAATAAATTTGTATATACTTATGTCTAAAATACCATTTATTTAAAGAAAATTAGGGGGTACAATAACTCTTGACATGCGTTTGAATTGCCACATTATTTTAGAAACAACGGTATCGCATCTCCAGTATACCGTGTGTCCCAAGTTGAACGCACCAACAAAATGACTGTTTTTTACAGGGTTTTTTATAAAGCGGAAAAATACTAAAATCCACACAAATTCAATCTTGCGGTGAATATCGACATAAGAATTTTAAAAGAACATACGCATTCCATTGCAACAAAGAACTCCGTGAAGGTGACTATGAACATCTTTAATGTTTGCCTTGCCAAACTAGCAAAATATTAACCTTTTTAACGCAAACTGGTAAAATTATAAAATTTTAAATTAATTAACAAAGTATTTACCTCAATCTGAGAATGAAAACTATCAGTTGTAATTTAAAAAAATTGACACTGACCATAAATTTAAAGTACGTAGATTGACAGCAAGCTTTTTATAATTTTGGGTACCATAAAAAAAAGTTCTTTGTAAAAATGGTAGTTTTGAAGAAATATTGTTCCAGACAAAGTTTTCACCCTGTAGAATGGATTAAGGTTAAAAAATATCTCACACGATTAATGGTCTCTTTTAAATTTTTAGGGAGTGACAACTCTGTCTAAGGAGGTTAGAAAAGAGTGAGGTGAAAGTTGGTCTCCATCTAATACGAATTTGACAATTTTTTGGGGAAAAAATAAAATTAAAATTCTTAAAATTTTCGTATTTCACAGGTGATTACTGATTAGATACGGCACATAGGTTTCCATGTAACAAAATGACATCGAAACAACTAAGAATATACAGGGTGTTTATTTAAAGAAATCAGTTATTTAATTTCACTGTAAAATTGGGACACTCTGTAGATTTAAAAATAATGTCTATACATGCGCAACCCTCATAACAGATTATTTAAATATTTTTTACCAAGTATGAGCTAGAAAAAACTGACGCACTGCTGTAGGACCCTGTATATACACCGTGTCCAAGATAAGGGTGTGTATCATTGGGATCTCCGAAGCCATAAAAGATACGACGATGGTCAAATTCGAGGAAAGATGCGAAATTAAAGAGTTATTATCGCGCTTTAAAGAAAACCGGAAAATTCCGATTACTTCCGAAGATATGTCAGAAAATCTGTTATTTGAACAGACACAAAAAATAAAAAAAACAATTTCTCACTGCCACTTTTTGAGCTCTACGGGAAAGCGTTAATACATTTTCAATATAACGTTTCGTTTCGGAAAAATCAACATCATTTGCTAATGATGTGAAAATTGATCCCCATTCAAAACGAACTAGAATGGCATTTTGAAATACAACAATTTTACCACTTGATTGTGAACAATACCATGCATCACTAACTTTCTCGTTATCAAAGTTTTGCCTTTTACTTGGATTAACATTATTGTTCAAATTAAAAACAAGGGCGCTTCGAATCATTAAAGTGAGACTTGTTTATGGGGAATTCATCGGAAAAAAATTAATAAGAAGTGAATAGGTTTCACTTTCAATGTAGAGGTTAACAAATGACATCGAAACAACTATACAGGGTGTTCGATTAAAAAAACAAGTTACTTATTTACATCGCAAAATGAGACACCCAGTACATTCAAAAATAATTTCGATAGAAGCTCAACCATCTGTATTTCATATTCGCACAAAAGAATTTTTTATATTTTTTACCAGGTATGGACAAGGAAAGACGCACTGTTGTCTGTGTTATGTTAAACGTTAAGGAAATTTTAGAAATATGCAGGATCGTTTAAAAATAAGTATTTGATAAATATCGAAAATGTACAGGAATTTGGAAAATGTGTACAGTTGTGAAAATATTGAAATGGAAGCGTTAGAAATGTGTAGGTAAATTTGGAAATGTTTAAAAATGAAATGTGGTTATACGTAGATAGAGGATAAGGACTAAGTATTATAAGCAAGTAATAATTTTACAAAACGTAATCAAAAAATGTTCCATTTAAAATAATAAATGGTCCTCGTGAATCACCAGAAGAGAATGAGCCAGTTTGAAGCATGCGAACAACTGCTAACCACATGTTTGCATATTACGAAGATAAGGCTGTTCCTATTTCTTTTCAACAAAGCAAATTTTTCAATTTCTAAATTATTGTTATCGCTAGTTTCGCCAGGTGTTGTACAGATGGTTCCCAATTAGCAATTATGTATTCATAAATAAGTGCTTTACTACACCTACTACACCTTTCTGTGTGATGTAAATGTTTCTATTTAGAAAATAGCAATAATTTTTATAATATCCCAATTTTAATGTCAAGTCTGGACCGTATAGGCAATATATTAATTACAAAATTGAATTATCGTACTTTACCCCAAAACTCACCCTTAACTTTAGTATTTTTTGTACCCTCGTTGAGAGCCATTCCGAAAAGATGCACTTCACTACGCGTACACACAAGATTTCAATTTTGTACGAACACAAGTAACGCAAAACTGCAGAGGTCAAAACGCTCTTATCTACACTTCCAGTTACAGGTGACATACCAACAATCAAATTTAAAAGCGAACGGAACCGAACGAATAAGATCGTTGACGTTCACGCATGTTCGGATGCTTCGATGCAAAATTATCAAAGATGACAAATGTACGCGTGGTTTTAATTTCGCCGAAAGTTACACTACAAAAATGAATTTTTCTTAATTGGTATACCTTCATTAGGAATTTCTCCTAGAACTTGGATTTAAAAAATTGCGCCCTACGCGCGAAAATTTTACTTAATGTACCAAAATTTATACATTTCTCACTCACTCAACTTTTTTGCTGCCCGCCCGTGTACTTATTTTGAAAATGACAATTACTTAACAATCATTTTAAAGAAACTTTGCTAA